TTACTTATCCTGCAAAGCTTGTGCTGGGATGTCATTTCTAGGATCGGGTTTAGGCTGAGCCCCAGGGGTCTTATTGGCGGGACTGTGGAGAAGGCTTGATCCCCTGCAGTACTCTCTGGAAAGTGCCTTCCTCCGTCCGGAATCCCTGAGCTGGTGCCCCCTGCAGCCTGCACAGCTCTGGCCTCTCACCGTGGGTCTCACGGCCTCTGCTGCCAAAACTAGAGAGGAAGTTCATGCCCTGCCTCTGTGTAGAGAAGAGTCACTTGCTGACTGGGTGCGAGCCGAAAAGGGACTCCCCACAGAGCAAGAACAGCTGTCCCCTTGCTTCTTGCACTCAAATTCCCTCCATCGGCCGCGCTGGGGATGCGCTGTCGGCCACCTCCTGCCTGATGTGGCCTGGGCTGCCCAGGAGATGAGGCAGCTGTCCGAGGTGGATGTTGTGTGCTCAGACCTCCAGAAACCGGCGAATGAGGCCTGATGGAAAGAACATGAGGTGGCAGTGGAAGGGAACAAGAGTGGGGAAATCTGTCCAGGCAGCCTCCTGCACCCCCGGGCTCTGGAGACAGCCTTCATCAGATGCTGGAATGTCAGATGGGGTGAAGAGAGAAAACGCAGTGCTGGCCTGGCCCTCTCGCAAACACTCCAGTTTCGCAGGCTGAAGAGGGTAGGTTGTGAATTGTTTCTTCAGGAATAGAGAAACCCAGACACCAAGACCCTGAGGAGGCAGGAGGCTATGCTGCGTCTCCCCCACTTCTGGAAAGCACTGTGTGGGGTTCCCTCACCCCGTAGACCAGGCCTGGCTTGGGCTCTCTGAGAGACACTGACTGAAGGCCGGAGCGGGTGGCCTGGCTCTTTCAAAGCGGGAGAAGCAGGATGTGGCCTCAGAGTGCCACCTGGAGGCAGAGGCGGTCTAAACACGCAGAGATGCAGGCGCGGGTGCCCCAGGGACAGAACTATCTGGACAGGGTCTACCCTGCCCTCTGTCCCCACCTTCATTCCAACCTCACACCTTCAGCCCTGAACAGGCTCCAGCGGGGCCAGGGCCCTTCACCCACGAGGGCCCAGGGATCATCTGGACGCAAGGAGAGCCCAGCAGGCGCTGCGCTCTGTCAGCTCTTTCTGGACTTTTGGTTTTGGTTCTTTTCTTCACATTCTTACCAAATGTTTCCCAGCCCCACACATTATTAGATCTCATGGAGGAAATGCTTATTTTTATGAACTAAATCAGCATAGAATAAGTAGGAAATCTCCATTTCTTAACTCAAATCTTATGACCTCCCTTGGTTTTTCTTTTGAGGAATCTACACTGTATCCAGCCAGGTGCATGTGTTGCTACTTCCCCAGCATAATCATGGCCAACTCGGAAAACACGATTGTGAATCCCTGTTTCCTAAAGCGTTCTCAGGTGCTTTCTAAATCTGATAGGTCCTCTCCCCAGGAGAAATTTAATGCACCCATCTCCAAACTAACTTAAATACAGTTTTAAAACATTGATGAATCACTCCTCTCCCGGATTCATCTGTGGATAGATTAAAAGTCTATCTCTGGGCTGGGCACGGTGGCTCATGCCTGTAATCCCACCACACTGGGAGGCCGAGGCAGCCAGATCATTTGAGGTTAGGAGTTCGAAACCAGCCTGGCCGACATCTGACTGTAACTGTGTAAGAAGCCCTGAGTGGGAACCACCTATGTAAGCCCAGTCAGCCAACAGAATTATAGGAAATAATAATAAGTTATTGCTTTAAACCACTGAGTTTTAGAATGATTTGTTACACCACTACAGAAAACTGGATAAAGGTGGTTCCCACTCAGGGCTTCTCACACAGTTACAGTCAGAGGGTGTCTGGGGCTGGAACCATCAAAGGCTCCTTACTCACTTACCTGGGCTCTGCTGGGGTGGCAGGAACCGCAGGGGACTGGCTGGGTATCCCTCTCTCCACGCTGCCTTTCCATGAGGCTAGCTTGAACTGAATTGCTATTGGGTTTTCAGTTAACCGAGGGAAGGAACCAAGAAGGATTTGCAGGGGGGTCAAAACTAATTTAGGTTGTATCCCAGGGTGGCTCCCTCATCACAGCCTTGGTGGTCATTTCTCTGGTCATATCCTTCCTTGAGCTCTCTAAAAGAAAGGCCTTCCTGTTTTAGGAAGGGTGAAATCCCGTCTCTACTAAAAATACAAAAAAAAAAAAAAAAAAAAAAATTAGCCGGGCATGATGGCATGCACCTGTAGTCCCAGCGACTTGGGAGGCTGAAGCAGGAGAATTGCTTGAACCTGGGAGGCGGAGGTTGCAGTGGGCCAAGATTGCATCACTGCACTCCAGCTTGGGTGACAGAGTGAGACTCCATCTCAAAAAAAAAAAAAAACAACTCTCTGTCTGTCCTGTGCCTGAGGGTGAGGTATTGCAGCTGGTCCTGAGGAGCTGGTTCTAAGATGGTTTAAAAGCTGTATTCTCTGAAGGAGGTCTGAGGGTGCAGTCTAGGCCTTTGCACATGCTGTTCCACCACTTGGAATTCTTTTCCACTCCTTTATCCAGTTATCTATAGTGGTAGAAAAAAATATTCTAAAACTCAGTGGTGTAAAGCATCGCTTACTATTATTTCTCACAATTCTGTTGGTTCACTGGGTTTATATAGGTGGTTCCCACTGGGGGTTTCTCCCGCAGTTATAGTCAGAGGGTGGCTGGGGTTGGAACCATCAAAGGCTTCCTTACTCACTTGCCTGGGCTCTGCTGGGGTGGCAGGAAGAGCAGGGGACTGGTTGGGTATCCCTGTCTCCACACTGCCTTTCCATGAGGCTAGCTTGGGCTTCCTCACAGCATGGTGGTCTCGGATAGCTGTACTCCTTACACAGCCTCTGGCTTCCCCCGGGCATGTTTTCTGAAAGGTATGGGCAGAAGCTCAAGGCTTCTCAAGACTCAGCCTCAGAAGACCCAGAAAGTCACTTTTACCACATTCTACAGGCAAGGCTAGGGTCAGCCCAGAGTCCAGGGGACTAGGAATTCAACTCTTTCAGAGAAAGGAGGAGCAAAGAATGTGTGACCTTTAATGTGTGTCTTTAATCTTGTGACCATCTTTAAGTCCTTTAATCTTGTGACCATCTTTAAGCCACACACCCTGTTTCTCTGGCCAAGCACTGTTACGTACTTTGAGTTTCATATTAAATGCCGTTTTCCTAGGAGGCTCTTTCCTGAGCCACTAGACTAGGATAATTTCTCCATTTTGTATGTGCTTCTGTAGAGCTCTAATACACCCACCCACATACACATAGGTTTTTCATACTTTCACACTTGTTTAATATCCATCTTCCCCATAGACTACAAATCCCACAGGGGAAAGGCCATGTTTTTTAGTCTGTTACTCACTGCTGGTCCCAGGCATTTACACAGTGCCTGGCTCAGTGTTTGGCTTCTGAATTGGACTGAACTGCTATTGAGTTTTCAGTTAACTGAGGGAAGGAACAAGGAGGGATTGGCAGGGGGGTCAAAACTAATTTAGGCTGTATCCCAGTGTGGCTCCCTCAGCTCAGCCTTGCTGCTCATTTCTCTCGTCATATCCTTCATTGAGCTCTCTAAATGAAAGGCCTTCATGTTTTAGGAGCCTGCTGGTCATGTGGGCTGACCCCTGTAGACTGGGAGGACTCCATCTTTGGGGTGGGACAGATCCTAGGGGTAGCGCCCTCTGGCAGGGCTAGAAGGAACTCCAGTCCCCCAGGCAGAACATGGCAGTAGAGGTGCTGGCACAGTCAAGAGGTGGCCAGTCATTCAGCCCCACTGTCAAGCCAAGAGGCTCCACAGAGACTACGGGCATCCCAACAGCTGGGCAGAGCATGGAGACAGGGAATTCCTAGCAGACCCTCTTCAGAAATTGAGTCTCAAGTGGATCTTGGAGAACTTGGTCAGCGGATGGCATGGCTTCATCTGTCAGCTGGCGGTCAGCTCAGCAGGACTCCTGTCTTTGGAAGGGAGGCTCAAGTCTTTACTCTGTACCAACACAGAGACGGGGGCCAGGAAACAAGACTTGCAACTATTTTCCATCATCAAGGGATGAGGTGGTGCTTGGCATGAGGCAGAACTGGGCTCTATCAACGCCACGCATCAGAAGACACCCCTTTTCTGTTTCAATCCCTCCTGTTCACGTGTGGTGCCCATTAGAGCTGGCGTATACTTTTGTTCTCCGGCGTCTGAGGACATGGAGGACGCACTTCCTCGCTTTCCCCCTTGTGGTTGGATGGGATCATGCACCCAGTTCTCGTCGAGTCCAACATGCTGAGGTTACCCTTTTCTTTGTGGGACCAAGAAAAGAGCTCTAATTTGGCTTGAAGTGTGTGTGTTTGTGCGTGTGTGTGAGAGAGGGCAGGTGTGTAATGGAGTGTGTGTCGGTGTGTCCATGTGTGAGAGTATGTGAGTGATTGTGTGTGAAGAGATGTGTGTGATAGTGGTGTGTGAATGTGGGAGTGTGTCTGTGGTGCATAACTGTGTGTGTGTGGATGTGTAGATGTGAGTGTGTATGTGTGTTAATGTGTGTATGCATGTGTGACTAAGCCGTGTAAGTGTGGTGTGTGAGTTTGGGCATGCAAGTGTGTGAGCAAATGTGGAAATGTGTGTGAGTGTGTACAAGTGTGTAAGCATGACAGTGTGTGTGAGTTTGGGGTGGGCAGAGGCCACAGCCAGTCCCTCCTGGGGCGTTAGAGCTCTGCAGCCCAAGCACCCCAAGTCGCTCTCCTTCCTCACTCCATCCTCAGCTTCCCAGCTGACTGCCTCTGCTCCAAACTCCCATGGGGAAAGCAGCGTCTCGAGGACCAGGGGCTCCGAGCGTGGCACGACGCCAAGTCTCGTCTCTCGCTGCCTCCTGAGAACCTGGGTACAGCACAAAACAGTCAAATATTTTCCTCTTCTGTCATCACTAACTAGAGCTCCACAAGTTCCCAGTTCACCGTGTTAGCTCTTCGCCATAATTAGCAATTTTCTGATATCATACTAACACTCCTTAATTATTCCCTCAGAGACAAAGCAAATCCGTGGGATGCTGAGGGCACGCAGGTAACTTCTGCTCAGGAGAGAAGCCCAAAGTCCGCATCCCAGAGACCTGGAGTGTGGCCGCCAGCTGAGGGACAAGCAGGTGGGCCTGAGTGGTGGCTGCGGGGTCCCCGGACACTGCTCACCACTGGCCTCCAGAAGCACCAGAGGCTTTGGGGATCTTCTGGTCCTCCGGCCCTAAATGCGGCCCTGGCGTGATGAGGGCAAGTTTGCCATCTCCATCCTCCTCAAGCTGCCTGTGCACCCCGGTGGCACGCACCCTGTCTGTGCTCCTGTCTGCACCCCATGTCCTGGGGCCTGCTTTGTGCTGCACCAGATGACAGGAACCGGTGCCCTGACTGTGACTTGCTTCTCCTGTTGGGGACAAAAAAGCACTTTCACAGCAAGGCTACTTTTCAGCCCTTCTGCAGACAGGGCCTCCTGCAGGGATCCTGGATGCAGAGGCAGGGCGAGGACACAGGGCCTGGGTCCAGGTATAGCTCCTCTCACACCTGGTGCAGGTGGCCACTTTCCCCACAGGGCACCTCAGCTCCCTGGGGAGAATGAGAAAGGGGAACTGAGAGTTCATTGTTACGTGGGACATGCCACAAACCCCCAAAGACTCATTGGGTGAAAAGAAGAAAAACAACCGCAAAGCTATTTTCGCCTGAGGTAGTCTCACGGCTGAAGCGGACGCCTGGATTACTCAATCCAGGCAGGGTCTCCTGCCTGGATTACTCAAATAATGACCCGGTGTGTCCTCCTTCCACCAGTGAGAAAGTCCCTTCTCAGTGAAACATTATGGGTCGAGGTATTTTACCTGGGGCCTCTTCTTTTTGTTTAAGATGGTAGTTTAAAAAAATAGTCTTTATTTTTTTTTTAGAAAAGCGTTAGTTTCCAGCGAAATTGAGAGGAAAGTACAGAGGTTTCCCACGTCCCCCCTGCCCAAGCACATGCACAGCCTCCCCCATCGGTTGTCCATTTGTGACGACGGATGAACCCCCCTGGACACATCATCACCACCCAAAGCCCAGTGTTAGCATTAGGGTTCATTCTTGGTGTTGTACATTCTATGGGTGTGGAGAGCATGTAATGACATGTGTCCACCATTTTAACAGAGTGGTTTCACTGCCCTAAAATCCCCCATGCTCCTGTTCTTCTGTTCTCTCCTCCAATCCCAGGCAACCACTGATCTTTTTACTGTCTGCGCTGTTCTGCCCTTCCCATAATGCCACACAATCGGAAGCATTTATGTTTCCTCCACTTCGCTTCAAAGCTTGGTACCTCCGTTGTTTTTAGTGCTGAATAATATTGCATTGTCTGGATGTATCTGTATTTACTTATTTAGAGATGCAGTCTGAGTCTGTTGCTCAGGCTGGAGTGCAGTGGAAGGATCTCAGCTCACTGCAACCGCCACCTCCCGGGCTCAAGCGATTCTCCTGCCTCAGCCTCCTGAGTAGCTGGGACTATAGGCGCCTGCCAACACGCCTGGCTAATTTTTGTATTTTTAGTAGAGACAGGATTTCACCATGTTGGCCAGGCTGGTCTCGAACTCCTGACCTCAAGTGATTCGCCTACCTCGGCCTCCCAAAGGGCTGGGATTACAGGCATGAACCACCGTGCCCGGCCGGGATGTATCAGTTTATTTATCCCTTCACCTACTGAAGGACATCTTGGCTACTTCCAAGTTTTGGCAATGATAAACACAGCTGCTGTAAACATCTGTGCCCAGGTTTCTGTATGGACATTAGTTTTTGGTTCATTGGCACAAATACCAAGGAGCGTGATTGCTGGATTGTGTGGTAAGGGGATGTTTAGTTTTGAAGGAAACCACCGTTTTTCACAGAGTTTACACATTTTGCTTCCCACTAGCAATGAATGAGAGTTCCTGTTGCTCCACGTCCTCACTGTAGTTGGTGCTATCAGTCACCAAGGTCCTGAAGCCTTCCTGAATTTCTTCCTGTATTTCTCCAACCAGAGCAATTCTCTCTCTTTGAGCCCTCAAGTCCACACTGAGCTTCTTTCTCCTCCCTTAGCACATTCCTTCTCCAGAGAGACAGCCTAGAGGCTCGGGGATATGTCCACCTCAGCTCAAACCCCAGTTCTAACATGCAGCAGCTCTGTGAGCTTGGGCCTCAGTTTCCCCATCTGCAAAATGAGGATGGTCATAGTGCCTGTCTCATAGAGTCATGTAGAGGATAAAGTGAATGAATACATGTAATGTGGTGGGAACAGCTTCGGACACATGGAAATGTTGCCTATTATTTTAAACACTGAATCTTATCTTCCCTCCAGATTGTAAGCATCTTTCCTTTAAAAGAACAAAGTTCAAAGTTATTTCTTGAGTAATGATCACATGCCAGGTGCTTTCCCACCCAAGTCAATACTCCTGACTCCAAAAGCTGGGAGTCATTGGCTCCAGTTCACAGGGTGGAGAAGAGGAGGTTCAGAGACGTGAAGAAACGGGCCCAGGTCACACAGCAGAACAGTGAAAAGATCATAGAGGGCTTAAAATAATGGCCCTTTCTTCAGCCTCTCTCGCTCTCTCTCTCTCACACACACACACACACACACATACACACACTCCCTTCATAAAAGTCTCACAATGGCAAGTGTCTTATACAAGACACCCAGAGGAGAAGGTCCTGTGAAGAGGGAGGCAGAGATCGGAGCATCACAGACACAAGTCAAGGAAGGCTGACAGCCACCAGAAGCTGGAAAGTGTAAGAGCGGCTTCCCCGCACTGCTTCTAGAGGGCACACAGCCCTGCCAGTAACTGGATTTTGGACTCCTGGCTTCCACAGTTGTGAGAGAATACACTTTTGTTGTTTTATGTCACCGTTTTGTGTAATTTGTCATGGCTGTCACAGAAAGTGAACAGAAATAGTTTTCCATCAGCACAATCTGGCGATGCACACGTTCACTTTGAAAACACGTCATTTTTACCTGCAAAGGTTTTAGGTTCCTAAAAGGGACTGTGCAGAGGGATCGCTGCAGCTGAAGTCAACACTGGCCCCGTTCTGTTAGAACACCTGCAAGAGATGGCTCAAGTGCCGACTGACCAAATCCTCTGGCTCTTGGGGTGATCCATTCCTTTACTGAATGCCTCCTTGTTGGGGTCATTCTGCTGGGAAGACATTCCCATTGGAAGATACTGGACCTTTCCTTTACCATGTCAGGCATGGCACTCCTATGTTAAAAAACTGTCCATACCAAGGGCATGACAGACAATTCGTAGAAGAAGAAAGCAGGATGATCAATGGCTTATGAAAGGATCCTCAGCTGTGGCTGGGCACAGTGGCTCACCTCAGTAATGCTAGCACTTTGGGAGGCTGAGGCAGGAGGATCGCTTGAGCCCAGGAGTTCAAGACTGGCATGGGAAACATGGCAAAACCCCATCTCTGTAAAAACTTAGCCAGGTGTGGTGGCATGTGCCTGGAATGCCAGCTACTCAGGAGGCAGAGGTGGGAAGATCATCTAAGCCCAGAAGGTTGAGGCTGCAGTGAACCACCATTGCACCACTGCACTTCAGCCTGGGTGACAGAGTGAGACCCTGTCCAAAAAAAAAAAATCCTCAGCTGTGCTAGAATCAGAAGAATGCAAATAAAAACCACAGCTAGACACCTTTCAGTCACATCAGATCACCTGAAATCAAAAGTGTTTCCCACCAGCACTGGTAAATGATGTTTTTTGTTTGTTTTTTGAAGTCTTGCTCTGTTGCCCAGGCTGGAGTACAGTGGCACCATCTTGGCTCACTGCAACCTCTGCCTCCTGGGTTCAAGCAATTCTCCTGCCGCAGCCTCCGGAGTAGCTGGGATTACAGGTGCACACCACCACACCTGGCTAATTTTTGTGTTTTGAATAGAGACAGGGTCATATCTACATGTTGGTCAAGCTAGTCTCGAATTCCTGATCTCAGGTGATCCACCCGCCTCGGCCTCCCAAAGTGTTGGGATTACAGGCATGAGCCAGGGCACCTGGCCGTAAACAATGTTAATAATTGTAGCTTTGTTTAGTTCAGGAAAAGGAAAAAATGTTCACTGGAAAGGGGATAGAGCTGTAAATTGAGGCACAGTTATACAGTGTTAATTACCAATAAAGTTGGGTCTAACCACAAGTTGCAGGAGATATATATATATATATATATAGCACTGTGGAAGGTTGGTTGGTGTTTGAGGACTGGAGGAGTAAGAACACACACTTGGTTAAGGTGATTTTCACTTTTTTACTGAGGAACAGCAGACAAACAGCACAAAGTAGGTAGTCAAGTTTAAGGATAAAGTGAACGGAACGGCTTAGATTCCTTTTTTTTTTTTTTGAGACTGAGTCTCACTCTGTTACCCAGGCTGGAGTGCCGTGGTGCGATCTCCGCTCACTGCAACCTCTGCCTCCTGGGTTCAAGTGATTTTCCTGTCTCAGCCTCCTGAGAAGCTGGAATTACAGGGGTGCACCACCATGCCCAGCTAATTTTTTGTATTTTAGTAGAGACAGGGTTTCACCATGTTGCCCAGGCTGATCTCGAACTTCTGAGCTCAGGCAATCCACCCACCTTGGTCTCCCAAACTGCTGGGATTACAGGCATGAGCCACCGCACCCTGCTGGCTTATATTCCTTTTTACGTCTTTAGTTCCTCAAACAAGCTCCATGGTTGGTGGTCTCTACAGCCTGTACAGAATGAGGAGTTTTCCAGGCTAGAGGCCGGATCTAAGGGCTCACTCACTGTGCGTGTGTGGGTGTTTGTGTGTATGTGTGTGTGTGTGTGCGCGTGCGTGAATGCATGTGGCTGTGTGTGCGTGTGTGCACACACAGACATTAGGGGAAGGATACACCAGTGCTAACAAGCCTATTATTTTTATTATACTTTATTATATCATACTACCTATAATTGTTCACATCTTAAAAAATAAATATGAATCAAATCCACAAACACGTTAGGATTTGATAGAGTCAACAATGGGGTCAAAGGTGGGATTACATTCACTGGTCTTTTCCGTAGTACGCAACATTTCATTTCAAAAATCCGTCCCTGGATCCTGTCAAGTTGCCATCTGCCATCCCAGGTAGAAGTCAGGAACCAGAACAACTTGCCAAGATTTGGGAACCTTTGCAAATGGACCACTTTTGGGCTTTCTGTAACCTGGTCTCTCCTTGCAGGGATTATCAAAGCAGTTCTAAAAGCAGAAGAGTCCTGTGTGTATATGTTTTGGGGGTCAGAAGAAAGAACCGAGTGCCCAGGAGGCAGTGTGGCGTTTTCACGGATGACCCCCCGGCTCGTCTCCTCCCGAGCCAGAGCAGGCCGCCAGATGGGTGCTCCAGCCCAGGGGAGTGCTGTGCTCAGCAGAGCCCCAGCTCCGAAGAATGTGAGTCCCTGGGCCAGGGTGCAGGGGCCCGCGTGGTGAGACCTTGCTTCTGGCCCTAAAGAAGGCTCGGCAGGCTTTCCCACCCAGTGGCTTAGGTGGCTTCTGAGGCATCTTAGGAAAATGCTGCTCAGTTCTTTAGAACCTGAGATCTGGAGGATCTATTAACATGCTTTCCCCTGGACTCACCTTAGGACCAGATCCTTTACCGACATGATGCAGCACGGCTTTAAAAATGAACAGTGGCGCCAAAGAGAACAGGAAAGCAGAGAGACCCGTGTCCGCACTGAATGGTGGGCACAGAGGTCCCAGCTGATCACTCCCGGTCTTGACCACTTCCCTCCCCTCCCTTCAGCTGCAGCCTCTCATGCCTTTTGATTACGGTGCTGGTGAAAGTGGAGGAAGCAGCTCTTCTCTCAGCATCAGCTACTCCACCTTTGCAAGGCCTGCGTTTGGGTTGTGCTTTTCAAGTAAGGAGATGTTGCTACCGTGGGAATCACGTCAATGTGGTCTTAATATTTAGGGCTCAATGGCACATGCCTGCTGACTCGGTGAAGGTCCTACTGGATGACAAAAACAAGCAGACCAAAAACTCAAAGTGACTGATGTGGTCTGAGTGGCCACAGCTTGATCTGGGCTCATTTTAGAGGCGCCGGGCTGTGCTGTCCTGTCCCAGGCCACTTGCTGTACACAGCTGTTGGGCGCTGGAAGGGTGGAGAGTCAAGAGCGGAGATGGGTACCAAGTTGAAAACCCACACCAGATTTCACAGACAAAACAAATGAAAATAGCTCGCGAATAGTTTTTCTATGGATTACATGTTGAAATGCTACTTTTTAGATATTTAATATATTAAGTGAAATAAAGTAATATGAAAATGGTTTCATCTATTTCTCTTCACTTTAAAAAAATGTGGCTACTAGATTACCCACGTGGCTTGCATGTGTGGCTGACGTTGTATTTAAGTTGTCTTAAGGGAATGTTACCCTATAAATACTGAGGAATCCAGGTTTAAATGAACAAAAAACGAACACCCCAAAAAAATACAAAACAGCGACCAAACCACTCTGCCCGGATGACCTGGCTGTTCCAAAGGTTATTCTTCTTCTTATTTTTTAACCAATGGTGGTGGGAGTGGCTGGCCTGAGCACAGGAAGCAGGAGGTGCATCGTCTATGGAGAATTTAAAATGAGAAGAAAACTGATTCAAGGGTAGCCCTCTTTTCGTCACCACGGCAAGCCCCGTTGTGAGCATTGTCAGTCCTGAATGGCAGCTCCGTGCCCAGATGAGCGGCTCCTGCAGCCCCCGCCCGGCCAGGTGTGCCATGTCAGGTGGCTGTGTGGTACCCTGGTGTGGCTCTTGGCCCTTTCTCCCCTCTGTAGAGGGGCCCTCTGCATCCAAGTGGCCATTGCTAGCTTCCTACAACCCAGCCCTCCTGACTTCTCCCAATTTCCCCTCGGCCTCCCGGCCTTGGGCTCGCTCACCAACGTAAAGTTCTTGCCTCTGCCTTGATTCAGGACTCTGTGGCCACCACCACCTGCTGGCAAGCTCCT